ATTCTCTCGGTCCCCCCCCTTTCCCTCCCTACCTGCCCTACCTCCACTCCCTCCCTCCCTACCTCCACTCCCTCCCTCCCTACCTCCACTCCCTCCCTACCTCCCTCCCTCCCTACCTCCACTCCCTCCCTACCTCCACTCCCTCCCCTAGCCCATGGCAAGTCTGCGCAAATCACACGTCCAAGGTTCAAGTCTTGCGGGAGCCACGCGATGGCTTCGGCAGAGCAGCCGAGACTAACACCGCCGGAGAAGCGGGGCCTAGGACGGTGCAGGGCTGCTCGCGATGCGGTGGTCCCGCTGTCTGCTTCGTGTGGCTGGGGCCGCAGTGGCACTTTGTGGGGGGTCGTCTTGAATTGTTGTGGGCGCAGCAGCGACCGGTTGCTGTTCTGAAGCGGTTGGGGGGAGCACCGTAGTTGTCTTGGCAGATCAAAGCCAATGACACCTTCATAGGTAGAGGACCGCAGACCTTGGGGGGGGGGGGGTGGTAGTGGCGGGATTTGACGCCGGCTCACCGTGTGGCTGCTGCTGCTGCCTTGCCCGCTTTGTCTGAGGTTCCTCCTCCTGTCGCCTCTGAGTAAGTTCCTCTCCCGTCCCCCCTCTCTCTCGTTCTCTCCTTCTTGCCTTCTCTTATCGAGAGCGATCGAATACCGTGCGACCGTGGCTCTGCGGTGCACGATGGCGTGACAATTATTCTTAGAATGTCTCCTGTCCCGCGTCCTTCCTGGCGACTCTCAACTCGTCACACTCCTTCACCGATCCCCAGCCAACGCCGCGGCTGCTGGGGTCTAAAAGCCGTGAAGATGAGAAGAGACGGGACCGTGATTCCAGCTCGCACGCAAAGAGAGCCCCATTTAGACCGTACTTCGCCAGGCTGGTCGATGCAGTGCCTGTAGGTAGCTGCCAGTGCGGTGAAGGGGCCTTGTCTGCCTTACTACGGAGGGGCACTCGTGACCCACGCAGACAGCCGCTCAATTACTGTTTCACTGTTTCCCTGCCTTCATCCAGCAGTAGATTTAAAACTAAACTAAGCTATTGTTTATTTTACCAGGTAAGGGACCATCCATTCAGTACGTACGCATGGAAGGGGGTGTGGGGGGGATAACCCAAATGCGTAGCTTGCGTATGGGGGGGGGGGGGGGGGGTCTACTGACAATGTACACATAGGAAACGGGGGAGGAGGGGGGGTGAAGCCTCGATAATAATTTGTCTACATTGGCCTTCAAATGAGTTAGATAGCCCGGCGGTGGACTATCTGTTTGCTTAAACACGTTCATATTATTAATCTTTGATCGTGTCTGCGTGGATTAAATATCGGCAGTTCTATAGGATTCGGGGGGGGGGGGGGTGCGTCAAGCGTTCGTACGCAGGTGGGGGGGGGGAGCTGTAAAAAGTCCGCGTGCGTACAGGGAGGGGGGGGGGCGGTCAAGTTTTGACAGATTTTTGCGTACCTACTCCGTAGATGGCCCCTAAGGCCCGCTGAGCTATATAGCTCTCTCTTTTGTTCATGTCGGCAGCGACCTGGCCGCGAATGAGAGCTCAACCAAGGGGCTTGTCACGTGGACATTTACAGCAGCCCACTACTCTGAACACGTGCTGATTGTGACACACGTGCTGATTGTAACACACGTGCTGATTGTGACACACGGGCTGATTGTGACACACGTGCTGATTGTAACACCACGTGCTGATTGTGACACACGTGCTGATTGTAACGCACGTGCTGATTGTAACGCACGTGCTGATTGTACATTTGGAGGGGGAAATCGCAGGAACCGGATCGCCGCTTCGATTCCATCTCCCGGCGTGGCAGGAAAAAAAAACAACGGTGGAAGTTGTCCTATGGGGGTGGAGGTGGGGGCGGGGGAAGAGAGAGAGCGATCGAAAGAGATTGAGATAGAGAGGTAGAGAAAGTTGGAGAGAGCGATTGAGAGACGCAGAGCGGGGGGGGGGGGGGGTTGGATTCTCGCTCCCAGCCATAGTAATGTGGAATTTCCACCACGAGCTCAGGTCTGCTAACCTGAAGATGATCACCGGCTGATTTGTCATCGCGCGATTTCAGCTCCCCCCCACCTCACACCAACCCCGTGCCTGGAGAATCGTTGAGTTTTATTCGGACCCCGAGGAGTGAGCAAAGCAGCTACCTAAAGTTAGCAATCGCGAGACGGGGGAGGGGGGAGGGAGGGGGGGCGATGACGGGGAGGGGGGCGGGGGCGGGGGGGGGAAGGTGGACGAGTCATTAAGACGCTGGAGGGTTCATCCCTCGCCGCCGGGCGCAGATGAGGAGATGACAGCTGCGGAGCAAATATACACGCCGCTCTCTCGACTCGATCCTCCCTCCTCCCTCTGCCTCATCCTCCTCGTCGTCGTCTCTCTAATTATTTACTTAGGAAATATTTATATTCGGGGAAAGTGCCACTCGCTGGCCTTGGCCTCGTTCTATCGCACCCCCCTCCCCCACCTAACCCCCGCCGCCACCACCATCACCACCCATGCACCCACTCACCCCTTCGATCTATAAGTAGCTTTGGGTGGTGGTGGTGGTGACAATGGAGTAATAATCGTGTGGGGAGCGATAGCGCAGCGGTTAGGGCGCTGCGCTACGAACCCTGGCGACCCGAGTTCGATTCCCGCTCACGGCCAACACCGGTGGTGACGATTATTTGGACCGGTCCTGGGCCTCCACTAGGTCGACTCAGCCTCAAATGACTACCTGGTGCGGTGTGTAAAAATCATCGCCACTGGGGAGACAAAGGCGGCCGGACTTGGTGTTGATCACCCGCAGTGGCCCTCATTGGTGCTCGCTAGCAGCACTTTCCCCAACAGTCTGTTGTAGGCTATACGGGGGATCTTCGTCTTTGGTGGTGATAATGGTGGTCACGATGCTGCTGTCCGCACGCTTCCCCCGGTGATGCTGCTGCTGATTATGATGACGGTGGTGGTGTAGATGATGATGATGATATTGCTGCTGATTGTGGCGGTGGTAATGATGCTCCTAAATGAACATGATATGATCATAAGTGCTGATACTCCTAATGATGACATGATCATTAGTGACGATGCTCCTAATGATGATGATGTGATCATTAGTGATGGCTATAAAGAGCTTGGGCAGAGTGGTTGGTGCCGGCTCCACGCGTGGCTCCTCGCGCTCCTGTCTCGCTCATCCCTCCTTGGAGAGCTGAGCAACCACTGTGTGCTGGATGTAAAGCTGGCATCGTCTCCACCGGCTTATCGCCACGCACGTTGATTCGCATGCATCCACAGCCTCGGTAGCTTCCTTATTCATGAAAAAACAAATTCGTTTTCACGAGCAGAGTGGCTCAGTCGGTTCGTGATGGCCATGTCAGTAGGTTCCATTTTGCGTGAATCTATCTGGCACAGCTGATGGGAGGGGGGGGGGGGGGGGGGTTGCGCTCTCTCGCGCAGGGTGATGCACTGCTCGCTTCAAAAGCCGTCTCGAATGGAAATGATCCTCATCTCTCGTCACGCGATGCCGATAGCAACGATTGAAATTAAATACCGGAGCGGAGAGGGGGGGGGGGCGAGGCGGGGGGGATTATAAGTCACGTATATTTGGATCGCGTATTACGTAACATCATGAGCCGTGGTGGTGACGTTAATGCATTCATTATAAATACAGCAGTGGATAGATATGGCTACTGATGAATTAACACAGACACACACACGCGCGCGCACGTGAACTCAATGTCTGTTGTGTGTCTCAACTTCATAATCTCCGTCTCTGTCTTTCCGTCTATCCCTGTCTCACCGTGTCTCTGTTTCTCTCCCCGCGTCTCCTGTCTCCTCTCTCCCCGTCTCTCCTCTGGTCTCCCCGTGTCTATCCTCTCCCATGCTGTCTCTGTCTCCAATGGCATGCGCGATGATCACCACAACCACGTGACTTTTCTTTCGTGTTGTGCGCGGTGCTTTTAGCGCCACAGCGCGTGGATTAGTAGCGTTTATTTTCATTTGTTTGCCGGTGACTTTGTGTATTTCATATCGAAATCGCCTACAGTGCTGTTTCTGCTGGCGGCAATAAAAGTTGTTTAAAAGTCAAAAGTCTCTCTCCCCCCCCCCCCTTGTCTATCTCCGTCTCTCGCCGACTGTGTGTCCCCGTGTCTCCCTATCTTTCCGTCTCTCCGTGTTGGTCTCCATATCTCTCACTCTTCCCCCCTCCTCCTCCTCCCTGTAGTTCCCCTCTCGCCGTCTATCCGTGTATCGCTCCCCCTTCTCTCCCTTCTCTCATTTTCTCTCAATTTCTCCCTCTCCACGTGTCTATCTCTGTCCCTTTCTCTCTATCTCCTTCTCTCGTTCTCCCCGTGCATAACTTATCCTTTTCCTCCGTATCTCTCTATCTCCCGCCCGCTCCATCTCTGCCCCTTTGTCTCGTAATTTCACCCCCTCCATATCCCCACTACTGCCATCTCCCTTCTCTCTCGCAATTTCCTGTCTCCCCGTGTCTCTCCGTGTCTCCCCGTGTCCCCCCCTCCACTGTAGACTTCTTTCCTTCTTCTCTCGCTCCATCTGTCTCTCTCTATTTTTTTGCGATCAAAGGAAACAAGAAGATGCTCGCATGCTCGGTGTAGTCGGCACGTTGCTTTGTTCATCATTTCGTTTTTTTTGTTTTTTCAATGCTTTGCTTTAAGTGCCCCCCCCCCCCCATTTTTAAATGAAAGATTTCACAAAAGATTTAACGCTCTGCTCTCCTCCATCTCTCTCTCTACGCCTACCTCCCACCCCCCTTGTATTTCTCTCCCCAACTCTTCTATCTCCTTGTTTCTCTCTCGCTCTGCCTCTCTCTACTCTGTCCACCTACGCAACCCTCACACCCTCCTTCGTCCACCTTTCTCTGTGAACTCCAGTCCCTCTCTCTGCTCCGTCTCTCCCCTCTCAACTCACTCTCTCCTCTCTCTCCGTCTGTCTCTCTGTGAACTCTAACTCCAGTCCCTCTCTCTGCCCCGTCTCTCCCCTCTCAACTCACTCACTCCTCTCTCTCTCTCTCTGTCTCTGTCTCTCTCGCTCTATAAAAGTTGTTTAAAAGTCTCTATCTCTCCGCTCGCTCGCTCGCTCGTGCGCAGCGCTGCAAGGACCGCCTCAACTCGCTCGCCATCTCCGTGATGAACGCGTGGCCCGGCGTGAAGCTGCGCGTGACCGAGGGCTGGGACGAGGACGGCCACCACTCGGACGAGTCGCTGCACTACGAGGGCCGAGCCCTCGACATCACCACGTCGGACCGCGACCGCGCCAAGTACGGCATGCTGGCGCGCCTCGCGGCCGAGGCGGGCTTCGACTGGGTCTACTACGAGTCCAAGTCGCACGTGCACTGCTCCGTCAAAGCCGGTGAGCGCGTTTGCTGAGCGACGAATTATTCGTAGTTCGTGATGTCGAACCGGTTAATCGATTGAACAAAAAAAAACACGTGTATTTAGAAGAACAAGAAAAATACTTTTGGCGTTTTGTCAATGACAATATTTCTGTGGGGGTATGTGGGCGTTGCAATTAAACGAGTGCGTGTGTGTATGGCGAACTTCTTTTGCACCGTACGTAGACAAGCTCGCTAATCGGAGGTGTGGGGGAAGGACAACACACGTGTGTGTATATATACTGTATATCTTAGGCGACGTTTCGGTCAATGGCCCTACTTCACGTGCTGCGATAGACTATACAGTAGTAATACAACAAAATAAGTAAGCCGTGTCTCCTTCGCATATCCGACTCGCTTAAAACAAGTTACAGCCATAAAATAAATACCTTAATGTTTTATGCGTATAGACGGATATGCGATGAAGGCGACATTGTGTGCCTTATCTCATTTAATTAAAAACAATTAATTCGTATTTTTCCAGAAGCACGCTCAAGATTGATGTGAGTTGCAGGAATATAACTCCGTGGCCTTCACATGCAAAATTGTTATCAGGCACGGCACACGAAGGAGTGGGTGACCAGTATAACGGCCGGCCGCCTTTGTCTCCCGATAGGCGATGATTACACACTCTGCACCAGGTACTCATTTGAGGCTGAGTCGACCTAGGGGGAGGCTCAAAACCGGTTCGGGTAATCGTCAACTGATGTTGGCCGTTAGCGGGGATCGAACTCGGCTCGCTGGGTTCGTAGCGCAGCGCTCTAACCGCTGCCCCAAGCGCAAATAAACAGATGCCCCGTATAGCCTTCAACAGGCTGTTGGGGCAAGTGCTGTTCGCGAGCACCTATGAAGGCCGGCACGGCACACGACGGGGTGGGTGGCCAGCACAACGCCCCAGCTCCTTTGTCTCTCGAGTGGAGATGTTTACACACCGCATCAGATATACTCAATTGAGGCTGAGTCGACCTAGAGGAGGGAGGACTTGGACCGGTTCAGATAATCGTCACCGGTGTTGGCCGTGAACCGGAATCGAACTGGAATGACCGGGTTACACAAACACAGCGGCCCTAACCAATGCGCCGCACAAAGACACTCGCACACACTCACACGTGTGTGTACAGTCCATGTACACACACGTGTGTGTGTGTACATGGACTGTACGCATAACAAGTAGTTAATCTTCCATCCATGCTGCACAATAATCAAAGGTTTCGAGTCCACACGCTGATTGCTGGGGCTGACTCGGCACATCATCATTCTCGGGTGGTCGATAGAATGACTACAGTACAACTTTGTTGTTGTACGGATGCCAATAGTGGTTGTTCGACGATCCACCCTCGCCCCGCCTCCACCCTCCCCCCACCCCCTTCCCCTGCCATATGAATGTGGAATTTCCATCACTGGCTCAGCGCTGAGATGCACCGTCGCAATACTCCGTAGGGCAGCAAATGGCCTGAACCCTGAATGCCCGATCACTCGCATTAACACAAAGTGTGCAGTGGATAATCTCCTTTTAAAGTCGTTTGTTGCCCCTCCACCCCCTCCACGGTTCAACATTTGAATACAACAATTAATTTCCGCGTACTTAATGTCACCTAAGCTTGATTTTTCCACTCGTGTAAAAAAGTGTCGCTTCTGGTTCCCTGTTGAGCGTTTTAACCTTCTGCGACTTTCCGTACCGCGTGCGATTGACGATTTTGCTCCGCTTGCCGTAGCCGCTATCGCCACTGTTGTCACTTTGGAGCGCTGTCGCAACGTCTCTCGACACTCTGCACCACTCTCACGCCCGGTCACCCGAGTTAGAGCCTCGGCCGCGGCTAACATCGGTGGCGAGTGACATCGGGACACCCACTCCCACAACTTCTTCCCCAACCGGCGCTGTCCAGAGTGCTGAAGTTGTGAGGTTTCGGTGACTCTGTGGTCCATGTTACACAATTTACCCGTGTTGAGAGCCCCCCTTTTGTTGTTTTTGTTTTGGTAACGCATCACCTACCGCATCTGTAAACAACAAAACATAATGTCGAGCAAGACCAGAGTGGTTATTGACGAATGTCTTCAGTTGTTGTTGTCGGTGTGTATGCTTGCGGACCGCTGCCAATGCAGTAGCAGCAGCATCAGCAGCATCACCAAATACCATCTCTCTCCATCTCATTCTCTCCTCCATCTCTCTCTATCTCCGTCTCTACCGGTCTCCCTCCATCGCCCTATCCCTTCATCTCTCTCTCTCATTCTATCTTTCTCTCTCTCTATCTGTTCATATCCCCTCTCTTCATCCCTCTATCTCATTCTCTACCTGTCTCTGTCCATCTCCATATCTCAATCTCCCTCTCCATCTTTCTCTCTTTCTCCATCTATCCATATCCCCACTCTTCACCTCTCTATCTCAATCTCTGTCTCTCTCAATTTCTCTGTTCATCCCTCTATCTCACTCTCTACCTGTCTCTCTCCATCTCCCTACCTCTCCATCTCCCCCCCTCCCCGCATCTCTACCTCAATCCCACCCGTGCAGAGAACTCCATCGCGGCCAAGAGCGGCGGCTGTTTCCCCGGCGACTCGCGCCTCTTCACGGAGGGCGGCGGCTCCAAGAGGCTGAGCGACCTGCGGCCCGGCGAGCGCGTGCTGGCGGCGAGCGGCGGCGCCGCCTCGACGCCCGCCTACAGCGACCTCCTCCTCTTCCTCGACCGCGAGCCCCGCCAGCGGCGCCGCTTCGTCGCCCTGGAGACGGAGGGCGGCGGCCGCCTTCTCGTCACCCCGTCGCACCTCGTGTTCGCCGCGCCCGGAGACTCCGGCGGCGGCGGCGGCGGTGGGGCCCCGGAGGAGCGCGCCGTGGCCCTCTTTGCCAGCCGCGTGCGGCCTGGCATGTTCGTCTTTGAGCTGGCGGGTGCTCTTGCTGATGCTGCTGCTGGTGGTGGTGGGGCTGGTAGGGCTGGTGGTGCTGGTGGTGGTGTTGGTGGTGGTGGCGGTGTTGATGTTCCTGGTGTTGTTGGTGGTGGTGTTAGTGGTAGTGCTGGTGGTGTTAGTGGTGGTGGTAGCCTTAATTTTGGTTGTGGTGGTGCTGCTGGTGTTGTTGGCGGACGTGGTGGTGGCACTGGTGGCGATACCGCTAGTGGTGATCACAAGAGTGGTGGTGTTGGTGGTGCTGCTAGTCTTGGTGTCTGTGATGGTCGTGGCAATGGGGGTGGTAGTTGTAGTGTCGTTGCCGAAAGTGGTGATGATGACAGTAGAAGCGGTGGTGGTGGTTGTTATATTTCTCATCGCGCTGCTGCTCGTGCTGCTCGTGCCGCTCGTGCTTACAGCTGTGCTAGCGCTGTTGACATTGCCACTCGTTCTGCCGGGACTGCTGCTAATTCCAGTTCGACTATTTCTGTCGGTGCCACACGCATCACTGCCGGTGGCGCCCATTGTTTTCCGTTTGCTCCCGGCACCGCTGCTGGTGGCGTTTGTTCTGCTAGTCCAGCTGCTAGTGCTGCTGGTTCAGCTGCTGGTCCTGCTGCGAACGCTTTCGCTGGCAGCGTTACTCATGCTAGTGCTGTTTGTTCCGTTGCTAGTTCTGCTGCCGCTGGCTCAGCTGCAGGTTTGGCCGCTGGCGCTGCCGGTGCTGTCGGTTCGGCTGCTAATTCAACTGCGAGTGTTGCCGCCTGTTCCGATGACGGCGCCGGCGCTAGCGCCGCCGTCGCTGCTGCGGGATCGGCCGCCGCTGATGCCGGCGCCGCTGACGGAACGCTACGGCTGCGCCCGGTGCGCGTGGCGCGCGTGAGTTGGGCGGAGGCGTTGGGGTCGTACGCGCCGCTCACGCACCACGGCACGGCGATCGTCAACGGCCTGCTGGTGTCGTGCTACGCGGCCGTCGAGGCGCACGACCTGGCCCACGTCGCCTTCGCGCCGCTCCGCACGGGCCACCGGCTCGTGCGGGGCCTCGGGATACAACCGCGCGGCGGCGGCGGCGGCGGTGGTGGCGGCGGCAACAGCAGCAGCAGCAGCAAGAGCGCACGGGGAGCGGGAGGAGAAGGAATTCACTGGTACCCACGACTCCTCCACACGCTCGCCCGTCTGCTGCTGAGCGAAGACGCGTTCCATCCTCTCGCGTGGCCGCGCATGAGCAGCTGAGGAGCCAGGAGGAGCCAGGAGCCAGGAGCCAGCAGCAGCAGCGGCGGCAGGAGGAGGATGAGGGTCCATTGCTCCCGGGCAGGCAAACGTTTGCTAGATCCGCGGTTCGGTGGACGAGATCGGTCAACACGGGTGGGTGGGCGGGCGAGTGGGAAGGTTCGCGTTGGGACCATGCCAGGGGGAGCCACGGGGGCGGTCGTCGGCCGACCTGGCGACGCAGCCCGAGAGATGTTTTGGGTTTCCCCCAAATCCCAAATCGCTCGTTGTGTTCGAACGCGTCTCGCGGCAGGGATTTACACAGGAGAGGCTCCCTAGGGGGGGTGGGGTAGTGGGGGTCTTCATCCAAGCAAGTAGGTTGACCAAGGGTCCTGTAAGTTATAGGTGAGCTTGCATTGAATGTATTGAATGTTAAAAGTGATTGTACATCACTTGCAAAGCAAGTGTCGCCAAATATGTTTTTTTGTTGTTGCTGCTGTTGTTGTTGTTACGTTGAACAATGAGGTCACTTTGTTTTTTGTTACGAGGTTACCCAGGCCTCGCCGAGGTCTCGAGACGTATTGGCAGCAGAGGGAGAGGGGGGTACCCCCCGCTATATTGGGCCGATTTGGGGCAATTTGCATTTCTGATGAGGATTTTGGCTTGGTGCGAGTGGAGGAGGACGGGGGGAGGACCCCTGAGAAAACCCAGCGCCACGCTCGGTGCTGGATTAAGCTAGTGCGGGGCCTGTAGCGTACGTTATTTAAAGGGGCTCTAAATAAAAAAAAGCCCGCAAATATTAAAACACATACAGTTTTACTTGCATAGTAAAGTAATTGTTATTTTTTTCATTTGTTATACAGCCAGGTAATACGACAAATCGCTAACCTTAAACACCCAGTCGTTCATAAAAGTTGAAGTCGGTATAACCTACTATAATCACCCAGAAATGTATGTCCGTCCCGCGCGTGACGTCACTCCACATGATGCACACCCCACCGCATGACGTCACTCCACTTGAGGCCCATCCCCCTCATTAATATTCATGAGTGGGTGGATTTTTACACTAACGCAGAGGAAGGTCAAGCTGAATTAAATAATTTATTATGCAAAGTCGCTTCAAACATGACGTTTCTTTACAGAAAGTGACGGTAAAAAATAAATATACGCAGCACAGTGCTACATTCGTGCCTGACGTCACTGCAAAAGAGCCCCCCCCCTTCATTAATATTCATGCCCGCGTGGAAATTTACACTAACGCACAAGAAGGTCGCGCACTCCAAATGGCGCACCCCTCCCCTCATTAATAATCATGAGCGGGTGACGTCACTCCACACGCCGCACCCCTCCACAATAACCATGAGGGGTGACGTCACTCCACACGCCGCACCCCTCCCCAATAACCATGAGCGGGTGACGTCACTCCACATGGGGCCACACCTCCCCCCCCCCCTCCCTCATTAATAATCATGAGCTGAACAATTTTTCTATTGAATATTTCAGATTTACTGTAACACACACCTGTCCTTGGACGGGCAAAAAAATCTAGTACTATAGTAATAGAGCAAATGCAGAATCACTGAAGCGGAATTGATAGCTTGAAAGCGTTTAGCGCGGGGCCCTTGAAAGTGCAGGGCCCGTCGCTACTACAAATGTAGCTACTACACGTGTAGCTACTTGTGCTACGAGAATAATCCGGCACTGGGTGCGCTGTGTAACACGAGGAGTGTTGACACTCGGCACTGCCACACCTCGGCTACACCGTATGTGGTCGACTACAAGTTGCACGGTAACAAGTGACAAGACGGATAAACAACACAACATTGCGATTGTCGAAGGAAGTAATTGTCGAACGAACGATGCACTTAGGAGGCGGCGGCGGCGGCGAATGAGTTTTACGTCAGAATAAACCACACGTGACGGGTTTCTGTCCAATCACGGGCGGCTACGAAGCGGGACACGCAAACTGTCCAAAGCCACGCGTAAATGGCGGTCCGCCACATTTCCCGTTTTTTTTGTAAAAACTAAAAAAATAGCGAAGAGTAAAAGTCACCCGACTCGTACGTTTAAAAAAAATATATAGTTCCATAGTTCCATAGCCATCGGCTCTTGAATCGGGTGCAACCGCAACAAACAAAAACCAAAAAACATGAACAAGAAAACATCTTAAAGTGATTATGTGACTGTGCAAACAGAAAATCCAGGAAAAAACATAAAAATATTCCTGAAATAGCACCGTACACCAACGCTGTGTGCAAAAATCCCAGTGGGATGCAAGTCAAACAACAACAACCACAATACAACTAAGATTAAGGACATCAGTCTAACTCCGTACGACAATAAACAAAAACATGGCCAAACCAAAAAAACTTTTTCGAAATCACCAAAATAAAAGCCATAAATGCAATGTAACAGTCATCATAGGGACTGTGACCGAATTTTTAACAATAAACTACATAAATAACATGTAACACCAAAACCTAGAGCCATATTTTAGGCCACTGAATAGCAGTGGCAGCTAGGGGTGTACAACTCCTCCAGAGCAGTTTTTAAGTGAAGATCTCATAGGTAGTGATTCAAGTTGCAGTTTATTGGCAATAGCATTCCAGACCCTGGGGGCATCAATTGCAAAGGCCTTTCCTCCGGTTTTTGTACGGCAATAGGGAATGTGAAGATGGTAAATGAGCGAAGACCTGAGGTCAAATTTGTTCTTTGAAACAGAGAGGAGATCAAGTAGGTAGTCTGCTGATTTTTTTGATAATACCGAAATAACCAGTGCACAAACATACCACACAACCTGGTACGGTAAATGGAATGGAGTTTAGGCGTCTGCTGAGCAATGATTGGTCAACGGAGCACGCAGGACCCTCGGGTGGTCACGTGACTTCTCTCCGCGATTTGATTGAACGCTTCCATGCCAGTTGCCCACGAGGATGATGAGGAGCAGCAGTCATGAAATTTGTCCAGATTTGTGCGACTGTTTTTACATCTCCTCTGCTTACCGAACGAGGACCATTTCCCGAAACGTCGCCTACTATACGATTTTATTTACGTATTTACTTTTCGGGCCACGGTGTTATTGATGGATTGTTGAGTTTGTAGATGTATTGTTTTATTATAAGAGAATATGATGCAGAAACTGTTGCTGTGTAACAATTGTCTGCAAGTTGCCCCAGTGAATGACCGCCTGGAGTGGACAGCGAAACGTCGGTCGTGATTTCCCGCACCCCTCCCCCAACCCATTTCGCGATATGACGACGCCACCATCCGGATCGTAACTCCCACAGAAGCATTTGGTTCCTCCGTTGTAGCCTTGCAGCCGACATAGCGCCTCCAGCGGATGCAGGGCATCACGATAACCAGTTATTTTTGTATCGTCGCCAGTTGTCAGCCTTGATAGTTCCCCTGCTGAATGAAGGCCTCCCCCACCGTTCCATCTCCTCTGCGAGGCCATCCTCGAGGAGTCTAGGGGGCCACGCTCCCTTCCCTTGACTTCCACCCGGACACCAGTCTCGACCTTCATGTCTGTCGAACATCTTTCGCACCGAACGTAACCAACCGCGCTAATCGGAGGTCCCGGAGTGGGGGGTGAAAAGGACAACAAACGAAACACGCACGAGGAAGACTTGCTTCTTATTTATCTGCGTTGGAAATGAGGTGAGGTTACAAAAGCAGTTCCCTATCTCATCGTCGGCCGAATACAGAACTGGGAACCTAGAGGTTAGCTACGACCGTGGTAGGGTGGTACCAGTTCTTTTGCTCTGTCCCACTGACTTTTATCAACAATCGAGAAGATATATTTGAACTTTCACTGGCTCCCAGATCCACGCGTTGTTCCAAAGCTTGTCCAGTAATAATAATTAACATTTGTTAAGGCGCCTTGCAAGAGTAAGGATAAGGCCAAGAAGAGACGGAGAAGCTATGAAGAATAAATTAAATTACCAAGATGTGGTTTTAAGACGAGACTCATTAAAAGTGTCCACACTATTGGATAAACGAATTTCCAGCGGTGGGGAATCCCAACCAGCCTTGGCGCAGCCACGGCCAATGTGCGCGCTTCACCACCGAGAACGCAGCCGGGATCGAGGTACGGACAGCAAGGGCGGAGTTTCGCCGATATATCGATTCGTTTTGACCGTGTCCGTGTTCCCGATCCGTCTATAATATCACCGACGAGTAGAAAGATCCCCCCCTCCGCCCCGCCCGTCTTCACGACGGCCGACGGAAATGAACTGCGCGACAATCGATTCCGAGAAATGATCAAAGGCGGCTTGCAACGCTGGGCTTCAATGTGTAAACAGCAAGCGAAACGATTCAGGTGATGCTGCCGATGCCGACGATGCTGCCGATGCTACTGCATTGGCAGCGGTGCACAATGACAAATTGTCAACAACACACGCAACAAATCACTCGAAGGTGTGATTGCTTGTGTCGCAGTCGAAACGTCGTGAGAATTGTATTGTTTTATATTTTTATTATTTTATTGTATCCCTTCTATACGTGACTTTACCGAAAGAACCAAGAATATGATTGCTTGTGTCGCAGTCGAAACGTCGTGAGAATTTTAGTTAAAATTGTATTATTTTATTATTACCCTTCTACGTGACTTTACCGAAAGAACCAAGAAAAATATAGAATTGTTATAGCAACACTTATTTTTTATAACAACACTCCTACAACATCAGAGTGCAGCGCCACATTAAATACGCACTACAATGACAATAGTTTAAAAGATTTGAAGCATGTTTTATTATCAAAATGGAAATATGGTTTTGGGGGGTGGGGGCAAAGCTTTGTGACGTCATATTTGAGGGGGGGGGGTGTCAAAAATAGTCTAAAATCGCGTGACGCCATTTATGGACGGCCCCTGTGCACGCTCTGACCCCCGATGGGGGTCTTGCAGACCCACCATCCCCATCCCCTCTTGTTCACTCGCCTCCGCGCTCCACGTTCCTCGCGCTCGCCCAACATCTCCTCCTCCGTTCGAGCACCAGACCAAGTCGTCGGACTGCTGCACGCTCCTCATGGCGATTGGTAAAGCGCTTCCGCAATTTCCGATTTAGGAATGAACAACAACAAACTCCTCGGCACGTTCGACAATAACACTGTAGCCCTTAAAGGCAAATCATTATTTTACATAGATAGACGTTTCGGCCAAAGGCCCTTGTACATAGGCTAAGTAGACAGGTGGAGGATACGAAGAGTTAGAGACTACACCTGATGACACCCTGGGGTCTGACAATAATTCTATAAGAATGCTTTACGATTAATTGTACAGACACGAACATGATAACTCCGTTTCTTCTTCCCCACGTTTTTTTAAAGTTAAATGTGTTTAGTTGAAGCGTCTGTCGGTCTGTCTGTCTCGCTCTAAATTATATTTTTTTACACGTAGACACCATTGTACATCGATTCATCTTCTGAGCGGGAATATAATGTTGTGGAACAAATGTGTAATATGTTACTGAAAGTCTATGATTATATAATTATATTAAAAACATCTTTTTTGTTTGTTGAAACCCAACACGGGCACGCGCGCACGTTTCGTTGTTTTGCGTTGGTCCCACGTGGTTTTTTTAAATGCTATGTATAAATATTACGAGGTCGCACCCATTACACACACACACAGTGCTCGCCACAAATCAACCACAATACCTTTGCTGATCTCGTCAAGAAGCATAAACGATCATCTCGCAGCAGCGGCGGCTTTTGGCTCCTGGCCATCAGAACAGAAACGGCGGCGGTCACCGCATCGCGCGGCGCTTTCAGACGCGCTTCTGCGGCCGTCTGGAACGCTCTTCCCTTCCGATATTGTGAAGCCACTGGCGCTGTGCACTTTTAAATCACCTCGATTGACAAACCCATTTCTTGAGAGCTGCTTTTGTTTTTCAATCGTTGTCCTTTCCCCGCACCTCGGATGAGCGCGGTTGGCTACGTACGGTTTCGAAAGAAGTTCAACGTACACATTCAACATACTATAGAGCGCATGCAGGATGCGCACGTGGTGTGAAAATAGATTCTGCCTCGCGGCGCGGTAGTTTAAAGGAACAATGGAGCAAGTTTCTTAAATAATAACTTAAACCCCCCACTCCCACCCCGCACTCCCACCGATGTCTACCCAGCAGCAACAAATGGGTCACAGCCACCGTCCATTGGTTCACTCCCACCTCTTCCAACCCGTCGGCTCAGCGTGGAAGAGTAGGCCAAGTACCCGCGCGAGAGCTCAGTCTGCAGTGGGAGGCTCCTTCCGCCAGCAAGTGGCGGTGAGCACGCAGCCTTAAGGGGGCTGCGCCTTTGCCCTGTGCCTGTAGCCGGCGCGCGCCGTGCGCTGTCGATCGTTCGAATCGATGCATCGGTTCCTCACGTTGGGTTGTATCGGTCACTATCGGAAATCGAATCCGACAAACGATTTACCGCTTTCGCGAGTATGGCTTCACGACCCGACAAGCCGTCAGGTGAGAAATCCTCGTTGAATCAAAGGTGTGACCAGGTGTGGTGTGGTGTGGTGTGCCCAGGTGTGGTGTGGTGTGCCCAGGTGTGGTGTGGTGTGCCCAGGTGTGGTGTGGTGTGCCCAGGTGTGGTGTGCCCAGGTGTGGTGTGCCCAGGTGTGGTGTGCCCAGGTGTGGTGTGCCCAGGTGTGGTGTGCCCAGGTGTGGTGTGCCCAGGTGTGCCCAGGTGTGGTGTGCCCAGGTGTGCCCAGGTGTGGTGTGCCCAGGTGTGCCCAGGTGTGGTGTGCCCAGGTGTGGTGTGCCCAGGTGTGGTGTGCCCAGGGGTGGTGTGCCCAGGGGTGGTGTGCCCAGGGGTGGTGTGCCCAGGTGTGGTGTGCCCAGGTGTGGTGTGCCCAGGTGTGGTGTGCCCAGGTGTGGTGTGCCCAGGTGTGGTGTGCCCAGGTGTGGTGTCAAGGTGTGGTGTGCCCAGGTGTGGTGTAGTGTGCCCAGGTGTGGTGTCCCCAGGTGTGGTGTGGTGTCAAGGTGTGGTGTGTACAGGTGTGGTGTGCCCAGGTGTGGTGTGCCCAGGTGTGGTGTGCCGAGGTGTGGTGTGGTGTCCCCAGGTGTGGTGTGGTGTCAAGGTGTAGTGTGCCAGGTGTGGTGTAGTGTGCCCAGGTATGGTGTGCCCAGGTGTGGTGTGCCGAGGTGTGGTGTGGTGTCCCCAGGTGTGGTGTGGTGTGCCCAGGTGTGGTGTGGTGTGCCCAGGTGTGGTGTGGTGTGCCCAGGTGTGGTGTTGTGTGCCCAGGTGTGGTGTGCCCAGGTGTGGTGTGCCCAGGTGTGGTGTGCCCAGGTGTGGTGTGCCCAGGTGTGGTGTGCCCAGGTGTGGTGTGCCCAGGTGTGGTGTGCCCAGGTGTGGTGTGCCCAGGTGTGGTGTGCCCAGGTGTGGTGTGCCCAGGTGTGGTGTCCCCAGGTGTGGTGTGCCCAGGTGTGGTGTGCCCAGGTGTGGTGTGCCCAGGTGTGGTGTGCCCAGGTGTGGTGTGCCCAGGTGTGGTGTGCCCAGGTGTGGTGTGCCCAGGTGTGGTGTGCCCAGGTGTGGTGTGGTGTCCCCAGGTGTGGTGTGCCCAGGTGTGGTCTGGTGTGCCGAGGTGTGGTGTGGTGTGCCCATACAAAATCCGACTTTCACATTCGAGTAAAAAGTCAAAGTGAGTCCCAGCCCCAAATGAGCATTGATGCAATGCTCCATTACCGGTTTAAGCCCAGAGTCAGTGGCGGAAATTCCACATTCCTATGGCGGGGTGTTGGGGGTGGGCAAGTCTATCCATAGGACAAGCAATGTCGACTTACCCTATGAAGTGGTCATCATTTAAACGACTCCGCAGGGAGGGATGTTGATGGGCTGAGTCAATCCCCCGCCCTTATACCAGGATTAGAACCCCGCAACTTTCCGTTCGGGGCAGCTCCCTTCAACCCGCTTCTGACTCATGCGGCCGGGATGAGACGGCGATTGCCAATTACAGCTCGGTCATGAGAAGCGACAGACGCTGATGACAATGCAGGTGACGGTAATCATAGCGACCGGTCGTGATGATTCAGGGACCCTCGAATTCCGCAATGGGATTGAGTTGTTCTGCTTTCTGTTCGGGATGGAGGTTAATTACACCAGCCCCCACTGGATCTCTTCCCAACCCCCCCACCTCCCTCCTCACCGGATCCTATCCCAACCCCCCCCCACCCACCCCGCAACCTCCCCCCCCCCCGACCGAATCCGCTTCAACCCCGCTCCCCCCCACCGGATTCCCCCCCAAACCCCTACCGCTCCCTCCGACGACGCCACGACACCCTGACAACGAGACAACATTATCATCGCCGCTTAACCCGCACCCCAACACATTCACATTTATCTCTCTAGCGGGAGGGGGGGCGTTCCGCTAACAACAGGGGACTCGGTGGAGGTGTCGGCGGAGAGGATCTTCTCGCGTGAACGGGAACGCATCGCCGCCGTGGAAGTTGTTCCGCGTGCGCAACGTCGCGCACGCGTTCCGCTCGTGAAACGCGACGGCGATAGCACGTGACGTGCAAAGACAAAGATGCCCCCCCCCACACACACACCGGCGTAGCCTCAGCAGGCTGTTGGGGGCAAGTTGTGCTGGGAAGCGCCTCCTCTCAAGGGATACGCGCGCGCGCGCACGGATACGTCTCGCCTGCCAAAACGTCGTAGCCTCCACGCCTACAACACCTGGCAAGCCCCGACGATCTCCTTACCCCCAAGGTAGCTTGCCCCATACTGAACAGGCTCGACGCCTTCTTGGCTTCCGAGATCTAAAGACAATCGGGCGCCCCTGCAAGGTACGGTTATCCGCTCGTCGGCACCGCATTTGTATTACGCCGTGAAGCTCTACTCCGGGCATCCTCGTGGCAGCGGCTGCAGAGGGCAGCGGCAGCAGCAGCATCTGCAGCAGAATCAGATGCAGCAGCTGTAGATGCAGCAGCAGATGCAGCAGCTGTGGCTGCAGCAGCAGTAGCAGCAGCTGTAGCTGCAGCAGCAGTTGTAGCAGCTGTAGCTGCAGCAGCAGTAGCCGCAGCTGTAGCTGCAGCAGCAGTAGCAGCAGCTGTAGCTGCAGCAGCAGTTGTAGCAGCTGTAGCTGCAGCAGCAGTAGCCGCAGCTGTAGCTGCAGCACCAGCAGTAGCAGCAGCTGTAGCTGCAGCATCAGATGCAGCAGCTGTACATGCAGCAGCTGTAGATGCAGCAGCAGTAGCAGCAGCTGCAGCAGCAGTAGTAGCAGCTGTAGCTGCAGCAGCAGTAGCAGCATCTGTAGCTGCAGCAGCAGTTGTAGCAGCTGTAGCTGCAGCAGCAGTAGCAGCATCTGTAGCTGCAGCAGCAGTAGCAGCAGCTGTAGCTGCAGCAGCAGTAGCAACAGCTGTAGCCGCAGCAGCAGTAGCAGCAGCTGTAGCTGCAGCAGCAGTAGCAGCAGCTGTAGCTGCAGCAGCAGTAGCAGCAGCTGTAGCTGCAGCAGCAGTAGCAGCAGCTGCAGCAGCAGCAGTAGTAGCCGCTGTAGCTGCAGCAGCAGCTGTAGCTGCAGCAGCAGTAGCAGCAGCTGTAGCTGCAGCAGCAGCAGTAGTAGCAGCTGTAGCTGCAGCAGCAGCTGTAGCTGCAGCAGCAGTAGCAGCAGCTGTAGCTGCAGCAGCAGTAGTAGCAGCTGTAGCTGCAGCAGCAGTAGCAGCAGCTGTAGCTGCAGCAGCAGCTGCTACTTTTGGCTGCTCACCATCAAACAAAGACGGCGGTCACCGCATCGCGCGGCGCTTTCCGATGCGCTTCTGCGTCCGTCTGGAACGCGCTTCCATCCGATATTGGGAATCCACTGGGAGCTCTGCACCTTTAAATCGTCTTGATTTGGAACAACTCTTTTCTTTAGAACTGCCTTTTAGTGTTTAGTTTGTTGTCTTTCGCCCGCACCTCCGATTTAGCACGGTTGGCTACGTACGGCGCGAAAGAAGTCCAACATGCACGCAAGTTTATCTTGTATTGCACGCGTGGACCCAGCACGGCCGTTGTAGGGTAATCCACTGCTGGATGAGGGCCTCCTGCCCACGCCATGCGGGTCGTGGCGGTGGTGGCTGGGTGGATTACCGCGACCTTGTACGCGCACAACGCACAGTCGAGGCATGCGCGTTGTGCGAGACACTGAAAGGGCACGCCACCTAATCAGCGTGGTGAAGTATGGTTAAAGAACCCCCTTCTGTGCAAGACTTAACGGGGATGGGGGTTGGGGGGGGGGTGTTCCTGTGTTACGCCAAACGCTGCGCGGTGTTCGACGTGCAAAGGTGGGGGGGGGGGGAGCCCCTTGCGGCGTTACGGAGCGGGGGTGTTGGTGTGTGGGGGGGGGGGGGGGTGCTGCTCACGTTACGGGGCGCGCGTAAATCTCGCCCCAAGCGAATGCCACCGGGGCTCACCGCTCCGCCGCGGCTGTAAAACTCCGCGAACCCAGGCGCGTCTCTCGCACCACGCGTGGTGTTCATGCGGGGCGCGCGTGTGCGGGAGCGCGCTGGGGTTCATCATCGGTGACACGTGACATGCGAGGACGCGGTGTGGAGATATGGGGGTCGGGTGCGCGTGCGTGTGTGTCTGTGCGTGTGTGTATCTGTGCGTCGACCTAACCCAGCAGCTGTAGCTGCACCAGCAGTAGCAACAGCTGTAGCTGCAGCAGCAGCAGCTGTGGCTGCAGCAGCAGTATCAGCAGCTGTAGCTGCAGCAGCAGTAGCAGCAGCTGTAGCTGTAGCAGCAGTAGCAGCAGTAGCAGCACCTGTAGCTGCAGCAGCAGTAGCAGCAGCTGTAGCTGCAGCAGTAGTAGCAGCAGTAGTAGCCTGTGCGTGTGTGTATCTGTGCGTGTGTGTCTGTGCGTGTGTGTCTGTCCGTGTGTCTGTGCGTGTGTGTCTGTGCGTGTGTGTCTGTCCGTGTGTGTATCTGTGCGTGTGTGTCTGTGCGTGTGTGTCTGTGCGTGTGTATCTGTGTGTTTCTGTGCGTGTGTGTCTGCGCGTGTGTGTCTGTGCGTGTGTGTCTGTCCGTGTGTGTCTGTGCGTGTGTGTCTGGGCTAGGTCGACTCGGCCTCAAATGAGTACCTGGCGCGGTGTGTGAACATCGCCACCGGGGAGACAAAGGCGGCCGGGCGTGGTGCTGGCCACCTACCACCTCGTGTGCCGTGCCGTCCTTCATAGGTGCTCGCTAACAGCACTTGCCCCTACAGTCTGTAAAGGCTACACGGGGGATCTTTGTCTTTGTCTGAGCAGTCACCGCGTGCCCCCGAGTGGATTCTGTTTAGCCGTATAGATGGGGGAGGATAAACGGGTGGGTGGGTGAGTTGGTGGGTGGGTGGATTGGTGGGTGGGTGAGTTGGTGGGTGGGTGAGTTGGTTGGTGGGTGAGTTGGTTGGTGTATGGGTGAGTTCGTTGGTGTATGGGTGAGTTGGTTGGTGGGTGGGTGAGTTAGTGGGTGGGTGAGTCTGTGGGTGGGTGAGTTGGTTGGGGGGTGGGTGAGTTGGCTGGTGGGTGGGTGAGTTAGTTGGTGGGTGAGTTGGTGGGTGGGTGAGTTGCTGGGTGGGTGGATGAGTTGGTGGATGGGTGAGTTGGTGGGTTGGTGGGTGAGTTGGTTGGTGGGTGAGTTGGTGGGTGGGTGAGTTGGGTGGTGGGTGGGTGGATGAGTTGGTGGGTGGGTGAGTTGTTGGGTGGGTGAGTTGGTGGGTGGGTGAGTTGGTTGGTGGTTGGGTGGATGAGTTGGTGGGTGATTTGGTGGGTGGGTGATTTGGTGGGTGGGTGACTGGCACGGGATGTGGAGACGCGACATTGCCCATCGTCATCCTCTTCTCCCCCACCCCTCCCCCGGGTCGATACAATTCATAGCAACTTCGTTGTGTGTGGACGTCAACAGCGAGTTGTCCTCTGAATATAGGGTGGTCCCCGCCATAGGCATGTGGAATTTCCACCACGGACTCAGAAGCTGTAAACGGGAGACGTTAAAGCAGAACTTCACTCGGTGCGTATTCATTGAGTCCGTGGGCCAGAGCAAAAAAGAAACCTGGTATCACCCTGCCACGGTCGCAGCTGATCTCCAGAGGCACCCAATGATGCATCTGGATGAGCAGAGCTCGGGAAGTGCTTGGTGACCTCGCTCAGTTCCAACGACGGTGATCGCACAATTCACCGGCACTGGCCATACGCGGATGAATAGAAACGGCGTCTTCTTCTTCTTCGTCCGTGCTTAGTTTGCTGTCCTTCCCCCCCCCCCCCCCGCACCTCCGATTAGCGCGGGTGTGTGGCTACGCGCGGTGCGAAAGAAGTTCAACGTTTCGTGCAGAGAGCAAATAATGACGATTTGCATTGAGGTGGTTTTGAGCCAGATGATCGCGTCCAGGTGTAGAGCGAGCGGTGCTTCCTCCTTACTTGTTGAACGGGGCAGTGCCGGATGAAGCGAAGTGCAGGGCCGGTAGCATTTGTTGTTGTTATAAAGGGGCCATAAATAAAAAAAAGAACACGTAAATATTAAAACACATACATTTTTAACTGGTATAGCAAAGTAATTGTATTATTTCATCTGCTGTACAGCCAGATAATACGACAAATCGCTAACCTTAAACACCCAGTCGTTCGTAAAAGTTGAAGGCGGTATAGTACTATAGTAATAGAGCAAGTGTAGAATCACTGAACCGGAATTGATAGCTTGAAAGCATTTAGCGCTGGGCCCTTGAAAGTGCGGGGCCCGTAGCTACATATGGTGCTACTTTTGCTACTACGATAATCCGACACTGGAACGGGGCATTGAGTCGACGTCCTAAACGTTCCATGGTTCTGTTCAAAGTGGTGATGGCAGTCGCCGCAACACTGATCGGAGAGCGTCTGTAATGTCTCTCATTTGCGCATCGCCGCCAACACCACCACCATCAATGTCGTCGTCAGGTATAACCGCACCCGCTACTGCCATGTGGTGGTTTGTACCGACGGGAACCATTGAAGTTAAGACACTTTAGGTGGTAACGGCGAGTGAAAACTTCTGGCCCTGGGCTCGTGGACTAATGTACGTGCGCGCGCGTGCGCGTGCGCGTGCATGTGTATCTTTGTCTTTTTGTGTGTTTGTGCGTGTGTGTGTTTGCGTGTTTGTGTGCGTGTGCGCGTATGTGTGTGTACGGAGCGGTAGTGTAGCGGTTAGCGCGTTGCGCTTTGAAACCGGCGACCCGGGTTCAATTCCCGCTGAGGGCCACCACCAGTGACGATTATCTGAACCGGTCCTGGACCTCTCCTAGGTCGACTCAGCCTTAAATGAGTATCTGGTGAGGTGTGTAAATATCGCCACTGGGGAAACAAAGGCGGTCGGGCGTGGTGCTGGTCACCCACCCCCTCGTGTACCGTTCCGGCCTTCATAGGTGCTCGCTAACAGCACTTGCCCCTAAAGTCTGCTAAGGCTATACGGGGGATCTTTGTCTTGTGTGTGTGTGCTGTTCGTCAGTGTACGGACGTCCGTTTGTGCTTTTCGTGGCACATTGAGGGAAGAGATTACTCTTGCGCCACGCTAGCCCGCGCGTGCCAGTTGGCGGCTGTGTATTTTTGGCGGAGAGTGTGTGGGGAGACGGAGCCTCACCCCCCAAACTCCGTGTTGTCAGTCTCTCTAATAATGAAACTACTAATGGTAATCGTACCACTGTTACAAATGATCCGTGCATCGCGTTTTGCTGGCTGGCTGGCTGCTGACGGGCTCCGCTCCAACACCCCGCACAATCAGCGGCTGCGGTGCTGTTGCCACCGCGGCTAGCTTGTGGGTAAACTCGGCTGAACTGGGATCCTTCCGTATTAAACAAAATGCACATTGAGTTGAAGCGGCGGAGGAAGCCCCGAAGATCAATAACAACAACAATAACAACAACAACAATAACAACAACAACAAGAGGCTGCTTACAGCTAAGAGGTGTAAGTAGTTTTAATGCGGAAGGGCTGA